CAACCACATAAGCCTCCAATGACATGGCGGGGGGGTTTTATAATTTGAAATGTAGAGACGGTTGTTAGAGTTTTGTTGGTTTCTGGACCAACCTGCAACCTAATTTTACATGTACAACCGACTTTAACTATAATTTTTCCTTTAAATTATATATTTTATTTATATTATATAAAATATTTTTTATTTATCACACTTAATTTTTGTTTGTCTATGGTATCATTTGACTCAAACCACTAGCCCACCATCTAAAAATAAAAATTGTTTGATTTCTAGGTTAACATTAAATTTTGTATTACATTTCCATCATTGATAAAATTATTTCTTATGTATAAAACTTATTTTTGTTTAATATAATGAATGCACAATATTAGAGATGTACCCAATATTATATTTTTTATAAATTTGTAACATTAGATATGTGCCCAAAATTTTTTCTATCTTTTTTTTTTATTTTGTGATTCTTTGTATTTTCTATTATTAAAAGTTTTATTATTCGACTATAACATCATTTCATTTCTAGGTAAATTTTGAATTCGGCATTCCATTTTTATCATTAATAAAATTCTTCTTACATTTCATAGTTATTTATTTAAATTTTATTATTTAATTATGACATTATTTATTAATCCATTTGACCCTAAATGGTCGAATTGCTTACTCACCACTGTAAGGGAAGAAAATGGTTTTGTTTTCAAATTACTTCAAAATATTTATTTTTATATTATTAAAATTAATATTATGGACTTAATTACAAGAATTTAATGATGAGAAAAATATATCTTAAATATAGGATTTAATTAGAGAGAATAGGAAAATATTTTTTATTTCCAATTGGTTTTAAATTTTACATTCCATTTCCATCATTAATATAATCATTTCTTATTTATCATACTTATTATTGTTTAATATGTATGTTAAAACTGTTCCCAATTTTTTTTAATGTCTATTTTTTTATCTATTTTATAATTTTATTATTTAATCGTTGCAACATGGATTAACCCATTTAACCCAAAATGATTTAATTTCTTACCACCACCTAGATGAAAACACTATTTTTGCTAGGTAGATTTTAAGAGTATAAGCTTTTATGTAATTGGAAATATTAATTTATTAAGTACAAATTTAATTAATAAAACTTAATGATGAGAAGAAATAAAAAATGACTTAAATATATGATTCATTGAACATGAATGCAAGTTAATAATTCAAATATTGGATTTAATGAGAGAGAAATGAATGCATTGAATATCTTTAAATTACTCCTTTTCAACTCATTTAATATCAAGAACCAATTTATTTGCCCTCATTTTTTATCCATAAATTTAAACATAGAGGGGTAAATTTTGTCCTTAGAAAATTCCAGAAATTTTCTTGAGGCTATTCGTGCTTTTTAAAGTAGTATATATATATATATACGGCGTTAGAGCATTGAGAGGACCTTTCCCTAGTACGAGAGGACCGGGAAGGACGCACCTCTGGTGTACCAGTTATCGTGCCCACGGTAAACGCTGGGTAGCCAACTGCGAAGTGGATAACTGCTGAAAGCATCTAAGTGCTCTCCTATTCCGACTTCCCCAGAGCCTCCGGTAGCACAGCCGAGACAAGGGAATCAATCGATTTTCTGGATGACACAATMGAATATAGATTTCTGTAGATGAGACATCATGCAAATCATTTCTATACTAATAGAACAGAACCCTACTCTACTCTATTTAAATTTAATTTAATTTGAATTTATTTCATCAAAGTTTACATTTT